TACATTTTATTGCTGTTCTCTTCTTGCCTCCAGAATATGATCGATTAATTTCGCATCAATCATCGATTGAATAAGGTTGTATACCTCATAATCCGTGGTGTTCTCAGTGACAGTTCAACGTCGCTGTGCAGCAACTAATTATATTTGAAACTGAAGGAATTGTCACTATCGAAGAAGTTTGCGTTTCATACTCAAAAGAAAAGATTCAGATTTGCTCATGACTGCGATTCTGCATTTGTCAAGCACTCAGCGTTACAACAGTGGATTCCTGATATTGATAGCATCATCGCATTACCAAAATGCGAGCTAATCACTCATAGCTAATTATTATCAATATTTTTTGCTCTTTATTCGATCGAAACTGCCAAACAAAAGGTGATCACTAAATTTCAACTGAGATCATCACACACTCTCAACGAACTGCACAATCGCTATTTCTCAGAATCACACTGATTTCCACGGCGCTGGCACGGAAGAAAACAAATTAGAACCACAACCACTCGAGCTTCTATGGTTTTCGAAGAGTCGAAATTTGGTTAACGAAAGAATCTGAAGGCTTGGCGAATCTGAGAGTTTCAAAACCTAGACAAACAACGAATATTCGAAAGTTTTGCACCAGAAATCTCCCACCCCACAAAAAAATGGATGCTGAAGAAGAGCTACGACCTGAGCAATCAAATTCACTCTATGAGTTCAATGAGCAATCGTCAGCACTCAATGTCACGTCTGCATCACATTGCTGTGCTACTGAAAGACCAAATATGAACAGAAATTCTTCGAACTCATTTCTTGCGTGTGTTCTTAAGCTTTCGCAAGATAAGAATGAGTGGAAGGTGAACTTTCGTAGTGACGATATGCCGTCGGGCATGGAAAGGGATGAAGCTCATTTGCACGGTAATAATGCTGATCACGCGAATCACGTTAATCGAAATGCGATTAGTGGCGGTTTATCAATTGTTCTCAACGTTATGCGAGTACTGTGCTTCTATCCAAGTGTTGCCGCCGAACATCGTAAGAAGCAATGCAAACATCGTTGGGTTCGTTCACGTCGTTTCACTGAGATTGTTTGTGGTTTTGTTTTAGAGATTAACTCAGTTTGAGACGAATCCCATTGATCAGTGCCGTCTTTGCACTCATTCTGATTGGTGAGCGATCGATGAGTTACCCTTTTGGAAGATATCAATTGAGAATTTACGATTAATTAGAAAGGGATTTGGCGTATCTGGGCTGAGGTGTGAAAATCTTATGAAGCGAGTGAATCACATCACTGAGAAACACCCAGTAAATTGACCGTCATGTTAATTTCGAGTTCGTGATAATTTCCATCTGTCATAAATTTGTGCGAGTTTTTCGAATTGCTTCATTTAGCACTGCTGCCGATGTGATGATGATTGAAACAGTTGTTTCTTGTCAGCAGTCATTTTTTTGCGTATTCCCAAAAAGTTTCTTAGTTGTTGTTGAACGCATCAACTCCATAAATAGATGTTCATCGCTTCCTTTTCTTGCCAAAAAAGAGCCAATTCATCGTCTTCCATAAAAACAAATAGACGAGGAAGTTATTCACTTTCAACAGAAGAATGCATAGATAAAAACGCAATTGATATTTTCGTAAAATGATTGTTCTTGTTCGAAGCTTTCCCAAAACGCAAAATTGTGATGATCAGGAATAATTCTTTACAATAAATCTTTTCAATGATCGAAATTCTTCAATCCCAAATTCTCTCAAGTCAAGTTTCAGCGCTCCATTCTACTGTTTAATGTTGCCGTTATGGTCATCTTACTGAACACCTATTTATGTAAGCATACGGTTGGTATGATCATTCTGTTCAAGAGTAAATTCGGCTTTCTGCACGCATCCACCGTATCATCAATTGTCACTGGCATCAAACCGCTCATCAACGTGATCGTGGTAAATCAATTTTATCTTTGCGCCACCAAAGTGTGAAATTCACTACTTCCTTTAGACTCTTGCAAATACGCAACAAATTACGCATTTATTCTTTCACGAGCATACAAATGAATAATACACACATATAAAAACTTATTCGATTCGCTTGTCAAATTACATTACTGAATCTGTTATTTTCACTATTCACTTCATTAGGTGATCAAAACAAAAAATCCGTCCAATTCGAAATCCGTGTTCTTCTGAATACATTTGAGGAAATAAATTGAACGACCGAATAAGGGCTTGTGACATAAACGTGCCTATCTCCAAGCCTATCATCATCAAGCAACTGTCGAAAACTTGTCTATCATTTGCTGTTGGTGCTTGTTGAAACGTGTCAATCATGACGCAAACTTTTCGTTGAACCGAAGAAAAAAATGTTCGTCTTCTAAGCATTAAAAAAATTTCCGATGGAAAAACGAATGAGGAAATTTTAAAAACAAACAAGAAGACGCCTACACGCAGCTCATTTTGATCGGGTATTTGATTGTCTCATTCAAACGTTTGCTCTCAATTGGGTGATCAATAGTGTTCATTCCAAATTTAGCTATCATTTGAGATAACTAAAAAAATGACGAAATGTCTTCGGATGATGGGAGCGAAGAGTTTCAAAAAAAATATTGAATGATTGAAAGACGGAAGGAAGCATTTAAGTCCAAATTAATTAATGCTATCTCTATCCTCATTAAAATGCTCAACAACATCATCAGAAGTGTTTGAAAATTCAAAT